ATGGATGGACTGATCTGTAATATGTCCTAAGCAGATAGTGTGGAAAATGTTCTAAGTTTTATCAGGAATGCAAGAAATGTCCCTGAAAAGAATAAAATCTCTATGCTGCAGGTCCCAAGAAAATTTTTCTTTGTCAGGGGCATGGTGGGGTTGGTAAAACCCCCTCTCTTGTTACCTCAGTGTGGGGGATACTTTGCCCACAAAGTCCCCCCCCCCCTTGGATGAAAGTGAAACTACGAACACGTGATCTGCTTGGGGAGGAGAGGTGGCTGATCCCTCAAAGGAGAAGGGCCAAGAGCCCCTTCCTCAAGGGGCTTTTATTGGGTTCATTTGCACAAGAATACAGGTAAGGATCAAACAATAGATAGCATTCAAAGAACTATGAGGTTTATCTCAGTCAGGGTCAGATAGCTAGAGAGCCATAAAACTTTGAGGAACAAACTTCTTGCTTGGATCCTTATCATTTAAATGAGAGCATTCTAAACAAAGCAGGTTTCACAGGATTTTTACATATTCTTTCTTGGGCCTGATCACACCATCTCCAGGTCTAGCCAGCAAAGGGCTGCACTGCTTTCCCCATCATAGGTTTCCAGGCTTAAGTGGATTAGAGCCAGGAAGTGATTCTCCCAGAGGGAAATGGGGACTTGGGCTATGTCACAATAGGGGGGAGGTGGGTCCATCATTCCCTCTTTGTTGCAAACCACCCCCAGTCCTTCCGTGATGGCCTCCCAAGTGATGGATCATGTCTGACTTAGGTTGCCCCCACTCTGCGGGGTCTTACCCATCTCTAACTAACAGACTAAGCATTGGGGGCAGGGGAAGAAGCAGAAGCAGCACTTGCTGCCAGAGACAAGCTTTGTCTCCAGCGGCTCGCAGTCTGGAGGTTGATCACTTAGCCATGGGAGGCAGGTACAATTCCTGAAACCCGGCAGGGCAGTTCCCAACACCTCAGCTGTAACCAGGGCTTTCTACCCACCAGTCAGGGTAATGTGTTATAGGAAAACGAAGCAACCAGACACTGAGGGATTCTGGAGTACAAGATTTATTAACGTGCATAGAGGGGCCCAGAGGAGTCTAGTCTTCAAATTCTGAGCCCCAAACAAAGGATTCTTGGGGTTTATATAGCCTACAGGGTCTTCCTGTCTATGTGGCAAAGCGGGATACAGAAGCGGAATGCGGTAATTAGTTCTATCTACTGGGCAGAAGCAGAATACAAAGGCTAAATGTGAAAACTGGTTCTATCTTCGGGGGTGCTAGCCCCAGTCCTTGTGACTATCCAGCTGTTTGCTTTTCCCAGACAGCCTTATCGTTCTCCCAGGGCGCCTGGGGTTTTGGGTGGACAAAGGTTTTCCAAAGCTCCCCACATCAATGTACAAGGAAAACTGAGTGGTGAGTGTGTGTGTGAGCACATTCACGCTGATACGCCCTGTGTGTCTAATGTGTGCGAGACTGTGCATGTGTGCCAACATGTCAGGGCCGTGTTATACCACCGTGGAACATAGAAGGAGACAGACAGAGGGATACAGGGCTGGAAGAGAAGAGCGGGACTGTTCAGGCATCTTTATCCTCTAAAAAATTTAGGATTCATATCAAAGCTAGCATAGTTAATCCATTCCTTTCCCTATTCCCAAAGTGTTATCTTGGGTTTTGTTTTGTGGTAAGAACATTTAACACGAAATCTACCCTCAGTAGTGTGTGAAGTGCACGATATGGCCTCATTAACTGCAGGCCTGATGTTGTACAGAAGATCTCTACAAGTTATTCTTCTGGCAAGACCAAAATGTTATACTTATTGAACAACAGCTCCCCATTTCCCTGCCCCTAGCCCCTGCAACCGTCATTCTATTCTCTACTTCCGTGACTATTTTATGTCAGCTGACGTGATAAACCTAAAAGATATTAGGCTTTGTGAAATAAAGCCAGTCACAAAAAGAACAAATACTGCATATTGCATTTATACAAGAAACCTGAAATAACCTTTGGTTTTAAAGAAAGTCTTCGGATAGTTAGAATTTACAAAGCTAAGTGTCATTGGAGGAAAAGGCTGGCCCACGCTCCCTCAAGCAGCACACACGGCTCAGGTAGCAGCAGGGTGCTTGACTCGCAGCATCCACCATCCTGCCACAGAGGAAGACGAGGTTAAGGGAGCTTGAAATACTGCAAGGCCAAAGGTAGAGATCTTGGCATGGGAAAGAAACCCTACTACAGAGTCGAGAGCAGCGATTCTCCTCCATGGGAGGTAAGGAGCACATGTCTGTTTGAAGGAAAGTGTTTTACTGTCCGTTACTGCCTCACTCTTACCATTCAAATCATCCATCAGGGAGAGGAAGGAACTGACACTCTGGCAAATAAAAATTTGGGGAAAGACAACTGCAAGAATGCGCAGATCCCATGGAGTGAAGCTGTGGTGGAAATACACATTTTGGAAAACGTGTAGGAGCTATTCTCTTGCTTTTTTCCCTTCTATACTTGCATTTTCCAGCGTGTACTCCAAGTATCTCTTGGTACTGTTGGCTCCATCTCTGAACTGTGAGCTTCTTTGAACATTGATTGTGGCTTACTTGTCTTTAGTGCCTTCAGAGAATCTCACAGAGACTTTGTCATGGTCCCGGGATGGGTATTTGTTAAACTGGACAGATTTTAAGAGGTGTTGTAGATTGAATACCAATCAAGGGAGTAAGGGATTTCAGTTTTTCAGTTTCAGGAGAGCTGGCCACTCACTGGTGGACGTTTTAACCACAGGCAAGGTCACTTTGGTCTCTATTCTCAGTTTCTCCTGAGCAGAGAGAAGGAGTTGCCTTAAATGACTTTCAAGATAACTTCCAGCTGTAATAGTCTGCAGTAAATGTCTCTCTTCCTTTTGGAAAATGTAAAATTATATATCAGATGTGATCATACACTCTATAAATACAGTGGAAATTTCTCATTAAATATTCCCAAATAAAACTGCTCCTTGAAATGATGAAATAATAAAGCAGCAGCCAGTTTACCTAAACATGATTGCTAATATATTTTATCTTTCTACTGTAAAAAAGTTTCAATGAAAACTACTTTCATTCAGTGCACATTTCTTCCTTGGACTAACAGGCATGAATTTTTTTAGGAAAATAGCAGTTCATCTTAATCCACTAGGGTAATATTTTTAAAGTATCACCAAATGTACTTTATAAAGTATCCAAATTACTTTCACAGAAATAGAAGCTATATCCAAGTAGAGATTTTCTGAATATGTAAAAACTTACTCATATGTTTAAGTAGTATCAAGTCCTTTTCTTGTGAATATATGATTCTAATACATATTTTGTACTTGATATTCACATTTGGAGTTCTGTTTCTCTCCTTTTCTTCAATGTATTTCTAGACATTGAAATAATTTATATGAGTATAAATGTCCTTATTTAATTAAACTTAGAGTTAAGCATAAATTTCAGAGACATGATTCATGTGAGAAACACAGCATTTTAGAAAGAAGGAAAATTTTTTCACCAAGAATAATGTGCAGTTGAAATTTCTCTTCATGCTAAATAAGAAATCTCTGGTCTGTGAATGCAAATCATTGTAATCAATAAATTTAAAGTACTGTCCTCTAAAATGCCTATGAAAATGATCTGGAGATTAACAATGATGAAATGGTTAAAATTAGTGAATCAAAATTGTTTTAGAGGTGGTCTGTAGTGCCAAATATTGGATTATTTTTCCTCAAAATTGGTAGAGAAAAAAAATGCTTTGTGTAAGCACAAAGGCCATGACACTTGAAGGCTACTGGAAATGAGAAGACTCTGGGACCTGGGTTCTCGTTTCTAGCCTGATCCTGAACACTTTTGGTTCTTCAACGTATTCAGCTGGTAGTAGTGAAGGTGGGCAACTGGCCACTAAGAGACTGAGGGGCTGGGGAATTAAAAGGCCCTTGGCAGCAGCAACTTCCTCGCAGCCTGGAAGTACTTCAGAATCCACTAGGGGCTGTTACGTGCGTGGACCAGGACCCCAGGGACCGCGTCAGTTACAAACGTGAGCTAAATCTCAGGACGTGGGGGGTCACTCCCAGGCCTCCCTGACGACTCCAGGGGCTGCACCAGCCATAGGCAAAGGGAATCACTGCCAGGCAATTCTGGGATTTCCGCCTCGGGTTCATGATCCCTCTGAGGACCTCAAGTCAATCCAAGACCCTCTCGCTCTCCCTGGAAAAGTGATCAGATCTCTTAGCAAGGATCTGGGAAAGCACCGGTAGCTTGGGGTCCACTGAGGCCTCCACACCCTGTAAGTTAAACAAACATAGAAATACAGATTCATCGTTATACCAGATTCTAACTACAACAGATTCTTTTTTTTTCCACTGATATATGCACTAATTTGCCTAAAGAATAAACGAGGGAGGAGGATATTCCCTCCCCAAAAGCAGACGAGAAGTCTTGTCCCTGACCAGGTAATGCTTACGAAGTCATCGGGTTTTCCTTCTTATCCAATAAAGTTGTTGATTCGAACAACAAAGGAGAAAACAAGGCACAGTGACAATGCCACTCAAATGAGCCGGAACCTGCATCATCCTGTCCCTCACCCCAAACCTTGTTCTCCTAACCGGACATTCTGAGAATGATCGCAAGTCCGGGCCTGGGGCGGTGAGTTGAAGAACCAAACTTATCTGTTTGAAGAAAGATAAGTACAAATACCAGTATCTATCATTTAATTGTCACGTAGGCCGAAGAAAGGAAAGTGGGGACACAGATTTTTAATACCTTCTTTAAAAAAATGAGCTAACTCCTTTCGAGAGTTAACTCCTTCAAGCCCAGCCTTCTTAAAGCAAAGGAAGTTCCAGTCGTCCGGGATTAAGTGACAAACTGTGGGCGCCGATGCAAAGCCCTCTGGAGAAGGGACGGTGGGGGCGGTGGAGGGGGGGGGGGGCGGGAGCGCGGCGGCGGCTCGCACACAAAGACTAGGAGTTCCCAGGCCGCGGGCGGCTCAGCTGGGGGCACGACCCGGCTCCGGGCGCAGCGACGCGCCAGGAAGCGGCGCGGGCAGCACTCTGGCCGCCCGGCCCCTCTGCTGGCGGCTGGGAGAAGTTAGTCACCGGGTGCCCTAACCCCGGGAGCGTCGGAGCGCGCAAACCCGGGAATGGGGAGGGAAGAAACGCGGTACCCGGGCTGCCGGCTGCAGGCGAGAGGAGCGCGGGACGAGGCAGCGCCAGGGAAGCCGAAAGTGCTTTGCTGGTGCACGGAGTTGCTGGGTTTACGAAGCCGGAGCGCACGGGCGTGGAGAGGGGAAAAACTTGCGGCAGGAACTTCCCACCGAGGGAAAGAAAAGCAGGAGAGAAGGAGACAGGGAAAGACTTGAAATGTCTCAGTAACTTTAAAAACACACCAAACACCCCTTCAGAAGATGAGGTAAGCCGAGGTTAGCCAACCCCGATTCGTTGTGAAATATCAAACAAATCCAGAGCGCCTGTGGCTTTAAATAAGGCCGAGGAAATCTTCTATTTTTTTTTTTTTACCCAAATACTTTTTCCCCTCTCGTCCTTGCTCCCTCCCTCGTCCCTCCTTCCACCTCGCCGACTCTGTTCCTCCTCCCCAGTCTCCCTTTCCTCGATCACTCCCCCACCAACCCCGCTCGCCCGCCCTCCCCCATCTGATTAGGCGCGGACTGCGCCGGGTGGGAGTGGTGGGGGAAGCTCTCCCTTTAAGAGGCAGCTTGCAGTGACGAATTGTTGAAATTGCCATTGCAGGATGGCATGCCGCTATAAATTCATTGTTCCACCTCCTCGCATCTTCACAGCGCTCGCGCTGCTCTCCGCGCTCGCAGCGGCGGACTGGGGATGACGGCGGGCAGGACGACACTGCACCCGAAGGGACACGGACGCGCCGCTTCACTGGCTCGCTGCAGGCCGCCCCTTGCATTTTTGTTTTGATTTTTATGGCTTTTCTCTCCCTCTCTTTCCTCTCTTCCTCCTGGTTTCATTAGAGTCAAGGAAACCCACAAAATAAAAAGAAAGTGGGCTCCGGATCTTGGAATCCCCGCTGCCAAAGGGTCCTGGGCAGCAAGGGGGCGGGAGACAGCGCGCACCAGTTGCCCGCCTGGTGCGCGGCACCTTCCTTACGCTCCTTGGTGCAGCGACAGTGGCTGCATTTGGGAAGGATTTAGTCCCCCCCCCTTTTTTTCTCATATTTGCTGAATCTCTCCAAGCCGGCTTTTCTCTTTTTAATTTTTTCCCCTGTTTCCGGAGCACGAATCCAAACATTTTCCCAAACCAACAAAGAAAAGTTCGCACGCTGGCACCGTGGCCCGGACAGGCTGGCGTTGCTGCTGGGTCCCCCTCCCTCCGACTCTTGACTCAACTTGCAAGCAAGTGTGTGTGTGTGTGTGTGTGTGTGTGTGTGTGTGCGCGCCCCTACCTCCCGCCCCGGTAACTTCCATAGCGAATAACAAATACCCATAAAGTCCCCGCAGCGCAGCCCCTCCCCGCGGGCAGCGCACTATGCTGCTCGGGTGGGCGTCCCTGCTGCTGTGCGCGCTCCGCCTGCCCCTGTTCGCGGCCGGCCCCGCCGCGGCACCTGCCCAGGATAAAGCCCGGCAGCCCCGGGCTGCTGCAGCGGCCGCCCAGCCCCGCCGGCGGCAAGGGGAGGAGGCGCCGGAGCGGGCCGAGCCTCCGGGCCACCCGCACCCCCTGGCGCCCCAGCTCAAGAGCAGCGGGCTGGTGCAGAACATCGACCAGATCTACTCCGGCGGCGGCAAGGTGGGCTACCTCGTCTACGCGGGCGGCCGGAGGTTCCTCTTGGACCTGGAGAGGGATGATTTGGTGGGCGCCACTGGCTTTGTGCCCGCAGGAGGCGGGCCGAACGCGACCCGGCGCCACCGAGGCCACTGCTTCTATAGGGGCACGGTAGACGGCAGCCCCAGATCCCTGGCTGTCTTTGACCTCTGCGGTGGTCTGGATGGCTTCTTCGCCGTGAAGCACGCGCGCTACACCCTGAAGCCACTGCTGCGCGGGCCCTGGGCCGAGGCTGAGGCCGGGCGCGTGTACGGAGATGGATCCGCGAGGATCCTGCACGCCTACACCCGCGAGGGATTCAGTTTTGAGGCCTTGCCACCGCGCACCAGCTGCGAGACCCCCGCGTCCCCACCAGGGCCCCGTGAGCGCCACCCGCAACATGACAACGCTGACCGACGCTGGACGCTGGCTCCGCAGTTCCTGGACCCGTCGACTCCCTCCTCCGATGGGGGCCAGGGACCACAGACCTGGTGGCGGCGGCGGCGGCGCTCCATCTCCCGGGCCCGCCAGGTGGAGCTGCTCCTGGTGGCTGACACATCCATGGTGCAGATGTACGGCAGGGGCCTGCAGCATTACTTGCTGACCCTGGCCTCCATCGCCAACCGGTTGTACAGCCACGCAAGCATCGAGAATCACATACGCTTGGTCGTGGTGAAGGTGGTGGTGCTGGGCGACAAGGATAAGAGTCTGGAGGTGAGCAAGAACGCGGCCACCACACTCAAGAACTTCTGCAAGTGGCAGCACCAGCACAACCAGCTCGGGGATGACCACGAGGAGCACTATGATGCGGCCATCCTGTTTACTCGCGAGGTAGGTCCAGCCTGGACGGGTGGCGCAAACACCGATGGAGGTAGGTCAAGGTGACAGCTTTATTGACCGGCCTTGTTTCTCCGGCAAACCACCTGCCACTTTGGATGGGCTTCAGCCTCCAACTCTGCTCTCCTACTGAGAGTAACCCCAGAAGCCAACTCTTGCCTTAAAGAACCAGACCTGGTTAGACAATCAGTCAGTCAGGGAGCCAGGCAGGATGCCTTTGGTTGGCGATATGGTGTCACAGACACATATGACAGGAGGGGACTAAAATGCTTGGGGAGATGTGGACAGCTAAGTGGGGATAGGGGAAGGCAAGGTTGTCTTTGAAGTCAGGGACCTGCTGCTTTCCAGTGAACCCCAAACTGGAACTCTGTCCAGCCTAGTGGAATGGGCTTGATGGTCCATCCACTGCAGTCACTTACCCATGATCCTCCTTTGTAGGGCCCATATACATTCGTCCGTAAACCTTTTGCACATTACGTGGAGGGAAGCACTCCCAAAGGAAGGAGTCTTCCCAATCTGGTTTCCTAATGAAGTTCGTACATGTCCCGCCTGGTGGAATTTCACCCCTGGGAAGGAAGGAATGCAGGAGGGTGAGGAGGATATAGAAACCCAATCCTGTGTGGTTCCTTAGTAACGCCTTTGCACTGCCTGCTCCAGTGAAGGGTCACTTCCAGCTTACATTTTTGGGTTTTGGATGATGTTTCTGAAGCCCCAGTGTGGAAAGATCTGGGCGAAGAGTCAGGGCATGGGGAAGAATGCTTTCCCAGGATTCCCTCTTTTAAGGAAGACGGCTAGAGGAAGGAAAAGAAATAGATCTTGACAGGCCCAGAGGCTCTGGGAAGAACACAATCTCTATTTGCACGGTCATGAGACCACCATGGCAGTGTGACATGCAGGAGCAAAGTCTGGGCGCCTTTGGAGCCTGGGAGCTCTGAGCCTCGGTTTTCACAGCTTTGCTCTGATTGGCAGTTACACCTCTCAGACGACTGGTAAGAATCGCTCCTTCTTTAAGTGTCTGAGGGTCAGGAACTTTGACATATTATGCAAAACCATGGGGTGAAATGGAGCAACCAGAGCTAGGATAGGGAATGCAACGGTGGCTAGCCGGAGGTTTTAGAGTCGCGGAACTCCACCACCAAATTCTTGTTTTTTGACGAAGGCACCCCCGGTATGAAGGGAAAGTGTTGATAAATTTGGAGTGGAGAAACACTTGTGGTTTATGGGGTAGACATAAATGTAAACCACATGTAAACAAGAACAGCAGAGGGCAGTAGTTTAGGGGCTGACCGGCAAGGACACCGCGCTATGCACAATGGCAAATCCTTCTCCTCGTTGCAGGGATCTCCTGGAAACCGTCCTGTAATTTCTCCGCACAGCATTAATCTTTGAAGCGGAAGAACATTCGCGGTGTATGAGGTTCTCCTGTAAAACTATTTCTTTCTCGTTTAGTTTCCAAGTTCTTTTTTTTCCCCGTTGTGAGCAACTTTCCATGTCTGGATTTCTTGCTTTGCTCCACCACACGAGGCTGCCAAGAAGGAGGCTTCAGAGAGTTTATGGAAGGAAGTCCTCTAAAGACAGAGGAAAAAAATACTTTTGTAGGCGAGCTGTTCCAAAGAGTAGGTCATTTTAATGCTTTGCTTTCATTTTTAAGACACATGCACGTTCTGTAATTTTCTAAATAAAAATTAATAGAGGACTTCATTACTTCTTCCCACCTGCCCTGCAACTTTCCTAACTGCTTCCCTGAAAAGGGGAGAACTCGTCAGTGATGCTAAATGACCTGTCTGTTGCTTTTCCTGGATTTGTTTTCAGTTCGGGTAGCTACCATTTCCTGTTTTCTGAGCTCTGAAACCTAGTAGCATACTTTAAGTAGATAAAAGCGAGGAAGAAATAAATCAGCAGTCTCTGTTAATTTTAATAAGTATTATAATGATGTTTATTTCACAAACTAGGCTCTCCCTGGGCTCTCCATGGCCTCTTCACCAAGCAGATGCACGCTTTGAGTAAAGCAATTGTCATTTAGTTTGTGGCTGGCCTTCTGCTGTGTACATTGAACTTGATGAGAGCCAAATATTTGAAAAGCATGGGTGTTATGAATGCCTGCATTTAATTTAAAAGAGTGCTGTTAATTAGGGGACTGAAAAAATACTGTAAGGCCCTTATGCAACTGGAGAGCAGTTCAGAAATGTACAGTTAATTTCCACCTAATGCTTCAGAATGTGGAGAACACTGCTAAACTAGAGGAGAAGTGACCTCAGCTCTCCTGTCCCATACAAGTCAGATATCTCAAGACCTAAAGAAAAATGTTCATGGCTATTATTTTTTCAATGAGAAATACCCAGAGTTGGCACCAGGATCCCACTTTTACAACTCTGTTTTGATGTCAGAAATCCGTTGCTTAGCAGCCAGACGCCAAGCCATGAAATCCATGTTTTGATGGGCTCTGGGCTCCGTTCAAATTGCGTGTCCAGATGTCTTCTCCTAAATTACTTGTTTTGCAGGCATGAAGTGAATGTGCGAGGACGTGTTTTCCACCCCTGTTTACTAGCGGAGGCCACCTTGAGAGTTGTGTCTGGGAGTCAGCAGAACAGTGATAGTAATTCATTTATCAAAGGAAGCCACTTCATTGTCAGGACTGGACCCTGGCACTCAGTGCTGTTCTAATTAGGGAAACGTTCGCAGCAGTCAGTTTTCTGGCATAAGAACCATTTTTTTTCACTCTGGAATGGCACTTATGCTGGAATTCACACCACTTTTGCCACCAAACAGCAGAAATCCAGTCTCCCCAGGACTTAATGGTACTTTCCAGAATCATTTGCTTGCTCCTAGCTTCTTCTTTTAACGTAGTTTCCTTAAAGACAGACTTTTTTAAAAAAGATTGTATTTATTCATCTTTTAGAGGGGAAGGAGAGAGGGAGAGAAACATCAATGTATGGTTGCCTTTTGTATAGACTTTTAAACCCATTTTCGAGACAATGAGCCCTACTTGAGGAGCGAAAGCCTCAGTAACAAAATTGACAGTGTTTCACATCCCCTAACTGGTACACCAATGGAAGCTTCACTCGTTCCTGGATGGAAGGCATGGGGTTGAAACCAGCCACGAGACTAGGCGGTATAAACAGTTCATTCACTTTCACTGATTATCAGCGGGCCAGTGAATGGGCAACTGTCCCTCAGCTAACACTTCCTTTTATGTTCTGCCTTATAATGCGGGGGTAGGGACTCCACAGGTAGCATTTCTACATCACCATCTGGGTTCTTGTTAGGTTCAGACAATAGGGGGCCCTCGAGGGAGACTAGAAGCTTGGAGAAGGCAGAAGGGTGTGCTTTTTCTTATTTGCTTGCTGGCTGGATTGACAAGATCAATCTCATATTTGAGTTCAAATCCCATTTGAAACCAAAAGGGAACATTAGCAAAGATTTATAGCCTCTGGGTCAACCCCAATCAATAAAAGGCAAAAGAACTAGGAAATGGGAAGACTGGGGCAGATTAAGCAGCTCTGGTTGACATTTGCAAAATAAATGATTGACAAATTGAAAGTTGCTAAGAGAGTAGACCTTAAGAGTTCTCACCCCAAGAAAAACTACTGTAACTATGCCTGGTGGCAGATGTTAACTAGACTTACTGTGTTAATCATTTCATGATATGTACATATATCAAATCATTATATTGTACACTTGAAACTAATATAATGTTATATGTCAGTCACATAAAAATTAAAAAGTAGATTGTGAAGAATACTCTGAAAAACCTAAAATCTGTTAGAGACGTTGTAGCACAACACAAAGCCCATTTCGTCATTGTCTTGTGCAATAATGCTTTCTGTGGACGAGGCTCACTTTCAGCATCTGAAGGTAGCAAGATGGAGAATACCGGTCCCTCCCACCAGGGACTGTCCCAGGGGAGTGGGAGCAGATACACGGAGAGGTCGCTCTAATGTTGGGGAAACTGATAAACACAACAGCTAAGCCTTAAGCAAAGCCTGCGAAAGGAGAGGGGAGGGAACAATCCGTTCTGCCTGTGGATCTTCATACAGGCTTCACTGCAAATGCAGGATTGAATTGATCCTTGCAGGATGGTTAGATTCTATTTGGAACCAGAGAGCTTTAGGTGAGCACTTTTTACATATTATCCATAATCATAATCATAAATCATAAGCAGTAATCATAGATTAGTATGATTACTAATTATAATCATAAACACAATTAATCCTTTCAACAGCCTGTATACAATCTTAGTATCATTACTGTCATTTGACAGGTAAGGACATTCATGCAAAGAGAAATAGAGCTCATCTTTTAACAGAGGAAGAAAGTAGTCTGAGCTACATCTAGTGCTCTCTAAACTAAAAGTATTATAATTAATTTACTCAGATGTTTAATATGTTCCTAAGAGGCAGAGAGGGACTCCGAGGCTTAAAAAGTGACCCCTTTCCTAAGAAAGGAAACAGACAAGGAAGTGGGTGGGTCATTGTTGTACAACATGATGACTTTTCCAAAAGACACAGTCATTAGAAATCATGCAAGTACATAGGTCACCTAACCCATCTGGTTCAACCTGGAAGAAAGAATGCGCATTAGCCAGACTCATGAGGAGAAGACAGTCAGTGCAGACACCCAGGCTATCATGTGCCACGGCCCAGAGGCAGCATGGTGACCCTGTGGACTGGAGGGGTTTGGATGTGGTAAGACAGACAGTATCAGAGTGGAAGGGTGGGAGATTAATCCAGAGAAGGCAATGCCAACCAAATGATAGAAGAAATTGTATGTCACATGTATTAGTCTGCTTGGGCTGCCATGACAAAATAGTATACATTGAGTGGCTTAAACAACAGAAATATGTTTTCCCACAGTTCTGGATGTTGGGAATCTGAAATCAAGTTTTCAGACTGCTAGTGAGAGTTCTCTTCCTGGCTTGTAGGCTGTTATCTTCTTGCTGTGTGTTCCAAGTCCTTGGATGGCTCTCCTCCGGGGACTCAGGGGTGAGGGTGAGG